TGGGTGCTGCTTGAATTGAAACTGTTGGCTTCGCCACCAGTTTTATGGGGCGCTCACCCAACCAGCTCAACCAATCCTCTCAAGAGCGCCACAAGTGGAGTGAAAAGCGATGTTGAAGAGAAAAGGCGACGTCCTTGTTCCCAATGGCAGCGAGGCTGAGAGCTCACGTGGCTCTCCGTTGACATGTGTGACAACCAAATGTGTCCGCAAGCTCAAGATCTTAGGCGTCGTCGCTCTTGGTCGAAAGAGGCACCTGCCGGGCAGCATTCAGAAAAATTGGAGAAAGCCTCACAGCCAACATGCGTCCCGCCACCCTTGTCTCGTCCTGCACGGTCCGTTGAGCCTCGCTCGAGTTGCCTGCATTGGTGATGGAGCAAAGCTGGGGTGCAAGAAAAAGCTGGCTTTGTTCGGCCACTACTTCATTGACCACCCTGGTGTCTTCGACGTGTACCGCGCCATTCTCTCAGACCCAACCATGCTGCGCGCCTCGTCGGAATCATCAAGAACTCGTGGGCTGTTCGTGGCTACGGTAAGGGGCCTGTTGTGGAGAGCCCCGAATGCTTCCAGGTGGAGATGCCGCCGTGACGTCTGTATGGTGGCACAAATACAAAAGTCTGGTTGCAGGCCCTTTGTTTATTCAGCGCAATGCCACCTTTTACTTGCACCACCACCTTTGCTCCATCATGGCTGCCCTTGGCCTCTGCATCTGCAACCCAATGATCTTGGTCTCCATTGTCATTGGCGGCCTTTTTGTTCTTGGCCTTCACATTCTAGCCTTCACATTCTTGGTGGCCTTCACATAAGTACAAGAAGCAAAACGTCGGTACCCCCAGCGATCCGAGCGCGTCGTGGATGATCTTGTCGTGGATGATGTCGCTGTCAGCCTCGGGTTTGGTCACTCGATTCGCCGACCGCCAATCAAAGAAGTACTCAAGCACGTATTCACGAATGCCCTCATCGCTCGCGATGTAGAGCGTGCGCACCTCCTGCGCCTTCTTGGTGACCTTCTCCATGGTCGCGGGTGCAATACCGGGCGCTCAATAAAATGTGGTGGGTCTCGTCGCCTTCTTCGGTGCCCATCGCCTTCTCCGACTTAGGGCACCACTGCTCTTTCCCTCAGTCGGTGGTGTGTGTGTGTGTGTGTGCCGTGCGTGGGTGCGTCGTGTGTGTGTGTGTGTGTCGTGTCGTGTCCTGTCGTGTCGTGTGTGTGGTTCCATTAATACAACAATACCGGCTAATTGTGATTGTGGTTGTGGTGACGAATGGCGAGGATGACTTCGGCCTTGGTCGCGCCCCAGCCGAGTTCGGGGGCGATCCCCTGGCTCACGCAGTAGCACTGGAGGACGTCCATCGGGTA